ATATTTGATGTTTTCTCATTAAGTAGTTTTCTTTTCTTTTATTGATCATCTATAATTTTTTTCCTCAAATTGCATCTATTTAGATACAAAATAAAATATTAAAATATAAAAAAATTTAATTAAATGAAAAGTATTTACAAATATATGAATAAAAAAGAATTATATTTTTCAAGTTGAGTTTGGTGAATTTTAGTTACTACATTAATTAGAATTAAACTGAAAAATAACGATTTTATAAATTTTAATTTCCACTAATTCTGATTTAATTTAATTTAACTCAATTCAAGTATATAATAAAACAATATTATTATTTTAATAACTTTTTTCTAAAAACAGTTTTACATTTTATAATATACGTATTATTAATATATTTAAATATTTTTAAATGAATGATTTTTTTTAATTATTAATCTCATCAATTATAATTAGGTTGCGGGTTGAATGGTTAAATAAAAGAAAATAAATCTAACTCAACCCAATTTCATTAAACTTAATTGAATTAAGTAAAGAAAATATATTAAACTAAACCTAAAATCCGAAATAGTCACTCTGTTCATAATTTTTAACATAGTGAAGGTTGTTATATTATATTTTTATTTGAAAGAGACATAAGGCATCGCTTCCATCTTATGTTATAAATGTAATTAAATGAATGGTGAGTATTAATGCCATGACTTTTCACGAACCTACCCACTTTAGGTTCCCTAGTTTTCTATCTGTCATCACCATGTTAGTGGTTTTTTTTTTTTTTATATAATTTAATTGATTTTTTTAATATTATAATAGTAAATATCTATGATCTTATTGTTTGGAATTGTCAAAGAAAAAATGGGAAATTTTTAACTCTGAAATGTCATCATTACTTTGAATGTTGAGAAAGACGGGCAAAAACTACTTTGAAAAGTTAATAGGAAGTAGAAAAGCTAACTAGTAAATGATAAGTGATGGTTGAAAGCTGTTAAATTAGTTTATTAAATAATAAATATTTGGTAAAATTATTAACTGAAGTAAAATAATAATTTTTAGTTTCAATTATTGTATATTTTTTAATATTATATTACTAATCTTAGATTTTGTCTTAAAATGTTTTCAATTAAGTTTAAAACTATGTAAAAATTAATATATAGTAATATTTTTTGTCATATTAACTAGTATAGGTTTAAAAAATAGAATATAAAATAAATATATAATTACTATTAAATTTTTGAAGGGTAGCATTAAATTAATAAAATAAAAATTAGAAATAATACTATAGTTAATAGTATAGTATAATATTAAAAAAACCATGAAAGAAAAGAAATAAAAAAGAATAACATAGAAGGTACACTAAAAAAAATGTTTAGTACTTTTAAACAATTGAATTTTAGTGAAATCCGCATAAAACTGGTGCAAAATATCTTTGATAAAATTAAAAATAATTTTTTTAAACATTTTTTTATAAAAATATAATTTTTTAATTTTTTCTTTATTTATTTTGTATTAATCATATCAATAAATTTTAAAAACTTATATATAACGTAAAATATAGAATTTTTATGCATAAAAAAACTAATTTGAAAAATTTAATTGCACTTTTTTTATTTTCCTATTACAATTATCTTGGTAAAAAAAACTTTTGTAAAAGTATTTTTTTATGAAAATAACTTGATAAAAATTGAGTTTTTAATAATTTTGTTATTTCTTTATTAAATTGTGGAAGAAATATGCTCGTATCAATAAGTGGTCACTAACAATAATAATGGCAAGCTTTTTAGTGTTTATATACAGGGAGGAGTAAAATATAATGCATAACTTTTATTAATTATTGCACTATTTAATAATTTTAATTATAAACATTTTTATAACTTAACTTAGATTGAAAAGATTATTTTACATAAATGATATGTGCAAAATTAATTATTAATTTAATATTATTTGTTATCTTATTCATAATTGAAAATAATATATACTATTTAAAATATAAATCATTTAATTAAATTCTAATTTATTTAGCTTTATTAAAATTTAACACAAACAGCCAAGATAATATAAAGTTATTATAAAATAGTTAATTAATCATATTGAGGTTTGTATAAATCTTTTACTATGATAATGTATAAATTAAACTCTTTCTCTTTTACTTTTCCTACTGTTTTACTTTTAAATAAGATTTTAATGATTAATTATTTTTGTGAATTTTTTTTATCTCTCTATGTTACATCATTTATTTATATTTTACTTTTCTTTTTTGGTCTTTTTTCCTCTTTATTGTAAAACTAATTATAAAAAAAGGAGTAAAAATAAAATTTTCCATACATCAGGTAACTAAGAGCATAACAAAACAGTTAAGAGTACCACAGTACCAGTACTTCACTTTAAAATCGAAATACTTAAAGAATATTGTCAGACTCTAACTACTAACTAGAATCTAAAAATGTGAAATTTGTTTAGATGGCAGATATACTGATGGAAAGAGCTCTGAAAGAAGCATTGATACTACTGAGATTGATCCTATGGATGCTGTCAACAAGGTTGGGCACTTTGTTGCTATGTGGGACTCTCTGTATGAGTAAGAAATGGCCCTGCATCCACAACTTCTCAAATATTTCATTGGACAACAGAGAAAAGGTTCTGCAGAAATGGTTTAAGCATAGCTTCCTCACACCTATTAGACTTGCATTCCTTTACGTCAAAGTTTTGTGCTTCTTTGTTTTCTTCTCTCAGGTAATGCCACTTTCTTGATTCACAACTTCTCATTCATGTCCATATCTCTTTCCTCTGTGTTTCTAATTGTGTGAGTATGGAGCAGTGTGATGAAAAGGGTGAAAACCCAGCATGGGAAGCTATAGGATACAAGGTTGACACTGATGGGATCACAAGCAAGGTTCAAAAAGAGAGGCCTCTTGAAAAGGGAATAGTGGAAGCTGTGAAGGAGAGTGATTGGAGTCTGCCGAAGTCCCTTGCTGAGAAAGGTCTTGAAGTTGCTATAGATGCTGAAAACAATGTCCTTCATATAAAGTGTGATGTGGTAATTGTTGGGTCTGGTTGTGGTGGAGGAGTTGCGGCTGCTATTCTAGCAAGTTCAGGCTTGAAGGTGCTTGTTCTTGAGAAGGGTAATTACTATACCCCCAGTGATTATTCTTCTCTAGAAGGGCCTTCTTTGAATGAGCTTTATGAATTAGGAGGAACTTTTGCATCCTGCGATGGGAAAATGGCGATTCTGGCAGGGTCAACTGTGGGTGGTGGTTCTGCTGTTAATTGGGCAGCATCTATTAGAACACCAGATAGTGTGCTTAAGGAATGGGAAAAAGACCACAAATTATCACTCTTTTCAAGCCATGAATATCTTTCTGCCATGGACATGGTGTGCAAAAGGATTGGTGTAACCGACAAGTGTGTGGAGGAAGGACTCCAGAATCAAGTTCTGCGAAAAGGTTGTGAGAATCTTGGTCTTCAAGTTGATTACGTGCCAAGAAACTCATCAGAACGACATTACTGTGGGTCTTGCAACTATGGTTGTACTAGAGGAGAAAAACAAGGAACTGAAGTCACATGGCTCGTTGATGCTATGGATCATGATGCAGTGATACTAACAGGAACCAAAGCTGAAAGATTTATATTGGGAAATAACAAGGGAGGGAGTGCGAGAAGAAAGAAATGCTTAGGAGTGATGGCAAATGTTTTAACAAACAACGTCAGTTGGAGACTGAAAATTGAGGCCAAAGTCACAGTTTCAGCATGCGGGGCTCTTTTCACGCCACCTTTAATGATTGCCAGTGGATTGAAAAATAAGCACATTGGGAAGAATCTTCATATGCATCCAGTGCTAATGTCCTGGGGATATTTTCCAGACACAAATTCTGATCTCAAGGGTAAATGCTATGAGGGGGGAATAATCACTTCTGTCCATAAGGTGGTATCAGAGGACTCCAAAGTAAAAGCTATAATTGAAACTCCAGCACTGGGACCAGCAGCGTTATCTACATTGGTTCCTTGGGTGTCTGGACTTGACTTCAAAGAAAGAATGCTCAGATATTCAAGGACTGTTCATCTGATCACAATTATTAGGGACAAGGGTTGTGGAGTAGTTAGGAGTGAGGGTAGGGTGCACTACGAGTTAGATGAATCAGACAAAGAGAATATCACGGATGGAGTGAAGCAGGCACTGAGGATTCTAATAGCAGCAGGAGCTGTTCAGGTAGGCACTCATAGAAGTGATGGGCAGAGAATTGAATGTAATGGGAATAATGAAAAGGAATTGGAGAAGTTTGTGGAATCCATATATGCAACAGGAGGGTCAATGTCACAAGAAGAAAAATGGAGTATATATAGTTCCGCACACCAGATGGGGAGTTGTAGGATGGGGATGAGTGAGAAGGAAGGTGCAGTGGATGAAAATGGGATGAGTTGGGAAGCAGAAGGCCTATTTGTATGTGATGCAAGTTTGCTGCCAACTGCAATCGGTGTCAATCCCATGATAACTATACAATCTACTGCATATTGTGTTGCCAAGAGAATTGCAGCCTTTTTGGGAACAGAATAAAATTTGGTTCTTTGTTGTTCTTTTTATATACTTGCAAGCATATGCCCTTGCCAATGTAGATGATAAATAATGGTGCCACAACATACTACAAGAGTTACACAGGTTGTTTGGAATGAACATGTGATTAATTACATTAAAATCATTTTTCATTTTTTGTGTGTTTACATTCTTGAATCACCACTTCTCACAGTGTGGCTCATTAGTTTTATCTTGTCAATTTTTATGATGCCCTTTGAAACAAGGACTTTTTAACAGTCAGATATGCTTAATATCTAAAGATACTAATAACCACGTACTGGTTAAGATTTTTTTATTGAAAACCATATAAGAATACATTTAGAAAAATCATAAAAAATGTATCTTTTACACGTTTCAATAAAAAAATTACTTTTTAATTCCTTAATTAGTGTTTATAAGACACTGGTTAACCTTTACCATATCTAAAATACCAGACACTTAGCGGCCCACATGTGTGTGTATGGGACCCGACACGTATCAGCCTCATCTGCTTCCATTTTCCAACACCAATGAATCACAACTCGTAACGGTAATAACGGTTGCATCTTCTTCTCTACAATGAAACCTTCTTTCATTGTCTGCTTCTCTCAAAAACACCTTCTACTAACCAACCGTTCATGCCTCTGTCGGATTACATCACATTCTTTTGTGTTACAACAAAATAAAACATATTTTACTGCATTCCAAAAAGGCAGAGAAGACAAATTGAATTTGGGGAGCTCGCTCCGCATATCTGACGGAATTTTATTATTATTAGAGATAGAAAGAGAAGAGATAATGAGATCTACGTGGTTCTTACATAATCTTCCCAAGTATGCATATATTTTAATCACATTTTCTACTGCTTTAATATATATTTTAATCACCTGCGCTGTGGAAAATAGCTATTGGTTACATTTTAATCAATGGCTATTTCCAGTTTCTGTTGCTAGGATTTTGAGGTTTCTGTGCTCGGGGGCTGATTGTATTTTGGCATGATGTTGCCACATGATTTTGCAGGGATTTGTGAGCTCTGCAGCTTTAATTAGGACAACAAATAATCCAGAATGTCAAGCTTCTGGGGTCCGGTTACATCAACTACAGATTGCTGTGAAAAGAACTACGAATATTCATCTTATATTGCAGAATTTTTCAACACAATATCCACCCTTCCAACCATTGTTTTGGCTCTTATTGGTCTTATAAATTCTTATAGACAACGGTTTGAGAAAAGATTTTGTGTTCTTCATGTATCAATTATGGCACTTGCCATTGGAAGCATGTTGTACCATGCCACGCTACAACGTGCGTAAGTATTGAACACTATCAACTTGTACAGTAATTTGTATACATTTTTGGTTGGTTGTTTTCAATTTTCAATGTTGTTTTTGAGTTATTCCGCATCATACAAAATGAGATTGGCATTTGTACAAATGTTTGTTGAATGATTGAAAGATGATTGCAAGGGCTACATCATATTCATGCATTAACCTCATATCACCATAGAATATTGACTTTGGTATAGTAATGTGGCCATAGATCAAGAAATTTTTATTTATATTCCCCGCATTTATCAACAATTGACACTGCTTTTTCTGACCGCGAAAGACCAAATTTATGCATATTCTACCCTTGAATAGGGTACTTGTGCATTTGAATTAGCAGGCTAGTTTTTAAGTCATTGCATCCAAGTTTTCCTTGAATTTATGCGTTTCCATATGTTAAACCGGCATTACTTTATCTTATTTTTGCCAGTGGGAGAAAGTGTTTTCTTTTCCATTGGATTAGAAGGAGAGATCAATATGATACTATACCATGAGTTTTTATTGCTGAACTATTTCCCATCATTGAGAGTTGGAAGATTTCTTGTTCTGCTTAATATTATTATTATTATTATTATATTGTGGCACAGTAGCATGCTAATTAGTTTCTGAAAGAAACCCTGTTTGGTTTGGAACTTGTAACATACTGCATATGCTTGGGGAATTTATCAAGTCTACAAGTGTACTGGTGATATATAGTTGTTTAATATAGCGGGCTTCTTGAACTATTGTTAATTTACTGAGGAGATAGGAACATGATAGTTGTGGTTATACATTTGTGAATGATACGTGTTTGTTTTGTTTGAGTGATTATTTATTTATTGTTGAGTTGTTGCACTTTGATTTAGGCAACAGCAGAGCGATGAAACTCCTATGATGTGGGAGATTCTGCTATACATGTACATTCTCTATTCCCCGGATTGGCACTACCCTCGTACAATGCCTATCTTCCTGTTTCTATATGGTGTTATTTTTGGCATTGTCCATTCAGTAGTCCGTTTTGGAATTGGCTTCAAAGTCCATTATGTCATTCTGTGCCTCCTCTGCATTCCAAGAATGTACAAGTATTACATATATACCGATTCTGTGTGTGCCAAGCGCCTAGGAAAGCTATATGTAATTACTCTTCTATTGGGAGGTTTGTGCTGGTTATGCGATCATGTTTTCTGCAAGGAAATATCTCGTTGGCCATTTAATCCACAAGGTCATGCTTTGTGGCATCTCTTCATGGGTTTCAATTCCTACTTTGCGAACACATTCTTGATGTTTTGCCGTTCTCAACAACTTGCCTGGTCTCCAAAAATTGTCCGTTTAATGGGTGTTTTGCCCTATGTGAAGATTCAGAAGCCAAAATGCAGCAAGAGAAAGTAATACAAGATAAAAAGGTTTCAGTCATGATACATTTGGGTAAAGAGTAGTTAGCTATCCATGTTCTTGGCCATTTTTTGGTTTAGAGTGGTTTTTTGGTTTTTTGATATTTTGTTGTGCACGTAGCATGTACCATATTTATGCCACTATATGGATGCTTGTTCGACCCCGGCAAAACTCCATTAATGACAACCAAAGAATTTGCAATACTGGTCGTTATTCGATTCAGTTGAATCACTAGAGATATTTATAGAAAAGTCGTGTGACACTTTCTAGATGATTGATTATGTTATTTCTGTGGAGCATTTCAGGTCAAACTCAGTTTGATGCTTCTTGAAAACTGATCAAAAGTTTGAACAGTTTCTAGAAAGTTTAAGTTTAAATATAGTTCCAGTAATCATTTTTAAATCAGACCTGTTATTTAGCTGGTCAAATACTGAAGGTTCAATGACTCAACCGTAGTTGAATTTGAATTAATGTCGAATTGGTAATAGTAAAATTCTTATAATAATTAAATAACAATAAAATATCATAATTATATTATTCTAAGAATTAAATTGAAACATAAATTTATAGATTTTTAATATTTAAAATATTTTAGATTATTTTTTTAAGAAAAACTTAAAATAATGTATCATTAAATATATTTTTAAATTAAACCGGTTTATACCAGTTTTTGATCAGTTGACTTTTTTTAATCGGTTTATCGTTTCATTTACTAGTTTCTTTTCGGGTTAAAGTTTATAATGTTTGATTTTCAAAAGAGAAATTTTCACCATCGTAAAGATGAAATGGTTTTACATTGCTTTAAAATAGCTTCCTTTAAGAAAGTAGGCAATTTATGAATTTGATGACATTTAATTTAACCGTAGCTTTCAGCTAGAGCCACTTTGTTGTGATTATTTCGAAAGCTAGTTGGTAATCATGCTCTTTACGACTGAAGGAATAGCTTTTCATAATGCATAATTAGATTAAAATGTTTTTCATTCGATCAAAAGTACTAGAGCAATTTAATTATAATAACTTAATAAATTACACTACGCTAATGAAAACATGTTAGCGATAATCTGCTCTGTAGGCAGTGTAAAACAAATGTCAACAAATAGCGGTAACCTAGATTAGTCTGCGAAGCACTAGATGTATTCTGGATCTTGCTGGAACGAAAACAAAATAATAATGCTTTATTCCCAAAGGAATTCCCACTGCCTGCTTTTCTATGTGGAGAAACTATGCAATTTTTTAGCCTACTGGAATAAAAAAGTCCTTCAATTCCCTAGAATCCAATCATTCTCTATTCATAAATTAACGGAGGCTTTTGTTCCAATTGTAACAGTACTATGGTTGGGTCACAAATTGAACATCGAACAGCCCAGAAAATCAACAAAAATCTGCACTCGACAAGGAATCCGAGGCATGCCAAAACTATAGTAATTGTCAATAAAATAAAAACGAAAGAGTATCATAGAAAAACAATTCGATAGTAGAACAAAAATTCATAGTTGATCGCATTAAACTATATTATCAAACGTGATTCAGACTACATTTAAGATAATTGAAAAATATTAACACCTCTCACCTCCAGGAATTAAATACAGCACAGGCGTTCATTTTCTGCCATTGGCCAAGTGAATTATTTAAGATCAAGAGTGAACGGTGGCTTCTCATGCAAAGCTATCAATTAACTATTCAACAAGAGCCAGAAAAACAGGAACGGAACTAATGCTCAACATACACTATGCACATCTTGACAGCATCTAGATCTTTGATTCGTTTCAATCCAAACATAGAAAACACATGTACAGATGTAAAGGTATCTAATAGAAGGTGAGAGAACAAATACACCTCGCCAGGAATCTAGAATTTCCCTGGAATCCCCTGTTGTAAAATTTCCCCAAGTCTCCCATATAGAGCTTCTTGTTCATTGAATGATAGGTTGATCAATATCTGAAACGACAAGCGGTAGTTCCACAATTAAACATCTTAAAATGTTAGTTGATAGAAATACAAGATATACATTGTAAAATAAAATAATACCTGGTCCAAAATCATTTCAACCGACAGACTATGTTGAACAACAAATGACTGATGATATATATAAGCAAACACGGCCATAACCATCTACAGCAGGAGAAATTGGTCAAATCTTGCTCGTCATATGCATAATAGCTGTGTACTAGGAAGCTTTTGACTTCCAATTCTAGCCTCAACCAATTAAATGAATATGACTAAAGATACAAATAGTGTACAAGCAGCAGAATGTAAAGAGTGAGAAGTTGTCAGGGAGGGGCAAATTTTGGTTTGTTATGAACTGATTATATTAATGGCACCAAAAACATAAATGAATAAACATACATCCCGCATAAATACCCATAACCACTTTCACAAATATATTAAATCAGGCCTGAGTCTAAACAGTACGCAGCTGACACTCATACTCAGTAGACTGGACCGCAAAGACTTCTAACCAATTGTCCGTCTTATTTGTCACTGATGATCCTTTTTCTTGTTGAGTACATTAAAGATTCTTCGAACGTTTCCGACTTCACACTTAAATTAAGGGAGTATAAATTTTATTTTGCACCTATTCAATGCATACAACAATCATTTTCGGTGATATATACTTACTTACATATGATTTTTTTTTTCCAGGAACCTTTTCTTCTTTTTTTTTAAACTTAGTTGGGGACTGGCAGAGACGTGGGACAGAAAAACATAAGTTTATTAATATGATGATTAAAAGTTGTCCACAAGGATAAAAAAATATATAAATTTAAAGAAATTTTGTAGATTGAAACATAACAAGAGTTTACCTGGCAATCCATTCTGTCAGTAATTCCACCATGTCCTGGAATACTATCACCAAAATCCTGCAAAGACGCAATTCTGTTTATGCCTGATCTAAATGGCTGATATTTGCTGACTTCCAGATTAGAGAAACAATTGCATACCTTTATTTTAAAAGCCCTTTTGAAACCACTTGCAAAGAAACCTCCGAAAGGTGCAATAATAGAAGCAAACAAGCCAAGACATAAAGCATGCCATTGAACTGGTAGGATTGACACCTCTTTCCAAGGAAACTGTATAGGACAAAAAGTTATGATTTTCAGATGTTTAGAGGATCTGGATTGGCAACTCATGATAACAGAATAGTCATATTTTATATGCTGAAATGTAATGTGGAAATAGAAAATCTAACATTTTAGTGGATTGTAGAAAATTTAATTTTCTAATCGTATTAAGAATATATGTTTTGTAATGGCAACTATCGGTGTGTTTGAATAAAAAACTTAATTATAAGTGGTCATTAAGCATAAGGGCTGCTTCGTTAATGTTCTCCATAAATACTTCTAAGCAGAGAAAATAAGCAGAAAAAATGAGATAAGTTTCTCCATGGGCTAAAACTAACTTACGCATAAACTAATTTATAAAAACTCTCATTTAACTGATGCATTAGCTAGTTTTTACTTATGGAGAAGTTTATTTCATATTTTCTTCTTATTCTCTTCCACTACAAGTACTTATACAGATGCATACCCAAAAGGCCTCAAGGACTATGTTAGAATTAATGTAGTTACGTGGCTGTTAGAGGTATTTAGGTAAGTGAGCACCAATCAACAAGATACAAGCAGTTTCAACCAAATGTCTATTTTTTCTTTCGGCAATACCATTTTAATGAGGGAGTATCGGGACAAGTAGACTGATGTAACATGTCATGTGAACTTAAAAATGCAGAGAAATTAGAAGAGAAGTACTTTTTGACATTGTCATTTCTAAGAATTTTAATCGCTTTACCAAATTGATTTTTAACTTCATTCAAAAAGGAGATAAAGATGGATGATAGTTCAGAATGATAATAAAGAAATGTGACAAAATACTTAAACCCAAAAGATGAGACATGACTTGGACCCCAAATATCTGAATGGATAATAAAGAAAATAGAATTACATCTTGATTCAGATTATTTTTGAAAAAGAAGCTATGACATGTTTTCTTAGTTGGTATGACTCATTCTAAAGTCTGAATACTACTAATTTCAGGGACTAATTTCTTTAATTTTGATAAGTGGAGATCACCCAACCGATCATGTAACAGTTTTGGGGATGCAAAACAGGACACATGTGACTTAGCTCCAAAATAATATAAACCTCTATATTCATGTCCTTCTCCAATCTGATGTCCCGTACCATGTTCCTGTATGTGAAAAGAATCAGTATCAAAGGTTATTAAACAATTGAAGGACTTGGTTAATTGACTTAATGGAATAAGATTGAAGGGACAAGAAGGAACAAAAAGAACAGATTTTAAATTTAAGAAAGAAGAAAGAGAGACTTGACCGATTTCTTAAGATGCAACATTAGAACCATTAGTTAAAGTTATGAAATGATGACTTTTCGGAAAGGATAGGGAGGAGAACAAGGATGTATTACAAAAAATGTGATTAGATGCACTCTAGTCAATGATCCATGAATTTTGACTTTCTACAAATTGTGAGATGCAAGTTGTCGACAAATTGGGAGTTGTAGATGATCGTGTCAAGTTGTTGGATATCAACCTGAAATACTCCTAATATTCTTCATAAAAAAAATTTGTTTTCGCAGCATCAATTTTAGAAATATGGGCAGACTTATCAGGAAAACCATGCAAAGCGAAACAATTCTCTTGAACATGGTCCATCCTTTTACAATATGAGCATTGAGGACGACCTCGACCACCATGTCATCCTCTAGCATGGCGTCTTCTTTTTCCCCATGTGAAAACCATGACAGAAGATTTCATAGGTTCATGAGCATTTTTACTTTGAAAAGTAGCAACTCAAAGAAGACGAGTGGTCAGATTTTCCATAGATGGGACTTCATGCCCTGTTAGCAATTGATCTCTAACATGTTCGAAGTTAGGATGCATGGCACGGAGCATCATCACAATATAAAATTTATCTAATTTCTTCTAATGACTCACTTCCAAGAATATTTTTAACTCTTCAACAACAGATTGAGCTTCACTCATGAAGGATATCATATCATGATAAGATTGTTTAAGGGAGACAAGTCTATTTGCAGAGTTATATAGGTGTTGAATATCATTTGCAAAGATACTCTGGGTCTTGTTCCAAAAGGAGTTACAAGTTTTAAATGATCTAAGAGTACCCAATAATTTGGGTTCCACATACTGCCACAGTATTGCACAAAGTTGAAAATAAGTTCTCTTCCACTGTCCAGCTTTATCAAGAGGTACTGTACTTGCATCTTGTTCAAGGTAGTCATGGAGACCTTGGCCAAGGAATCACATTTCAACGGAATCAGACCAAGAGAGATAATTTTTTCCATTTCTCAGAATTGATGGTAGGAGTGTCTGAGAAAGAGACAATAAATCCAGAAGACATGTTTGTTGGAATTTTTATATAAGACCACAGGAACAATAAAGTAATGAAGAGACACAGCGGTGACGGGCAGTGGTGGTGGCCGGCGGCGACTGAGACCAACAGAGCAGAATTAACCCGCTCTGATACCAACTTAATATTAAAAAGAGAGAAATATTTTTAGAGGGGTTAATCACACCACTCTCATGATCCCATATATATAGATTCAGATAGGTACAACTCATAAATTACATTTAAATTCAACTACTACCCATATGTATTAATTCTAAGATCCACCTGTAATATTTCTAACAGTCACCTAACTACATTAATTCTAACATACTAAATGGAAATAAAAAAGAGACAGGGCGCTCAAGCTAGTTTAGGCTGTTATATAAGCTATTCTGTTATATAGGTTAGCCCAAATAATTTACACAAGTATTTATGTCATAAGAAGACCACATATGCTCTTCCAAATGTCCCCTTTATCCAAGAAAAATGAAGGTTAAAATGAAATATCCACATTTGGATTTCTTTGTATTCATGATAAAAATTTGCCAAGTTAACTAATGCCTGGGCAATTTGAGTCAGTGCATGAGCTATGCAAGTCATTGACACAATTGTTTTCAACCTTATCCATAATTTTTACATTCTATATTTTTCAAGTTTTTTATTTTTGAAGTAGAATTCGAGGATTTATTTTGTTGGCATCCAAATTGTGTTTTTGGTTAATTTGTTTACTAATATGTGGCCATGCACACTGACACTGTAAGCAGATATTGATGCAGGTCATTAGATTCAAAAGTCAGCTGAACTTCAAGTGCGTACCCAGTGAGGAGTCCATCCTAATAAGGAATAGGATTCTGGCTTAAACAGAGGACCAGGATCACAGTGAAGCCAACCAGTTGACAAGTCCTGCATGTTATTCCCAACTAGATGTGAGCATTAGTCAGTTTGTTGTTGAATAATGCTTCACAATATATCAGTTAGTTGTGGTATGTATTACACAGCTACCTTCCTTGGACATGTTAGCCACTGAGAATGACCCATGATGTCAGCAAGCTACAAAATAAGTTTTCAACAATGATATTAGCATCTAGCTCAGAACAAGTTTTCAACAATGATATTAGCATCTAGCTCAGAACTTGATTGTTGTATAAACACTCAAGCAATTAATTGCCACAAATGATGATTCTGATCAAGATTTCGAACAGTTTATTTAGGCTGTTGCAATCATTTAATAATGCTATAATTAGAGGAATATAAAGCATCAACAAGTGATTCAGGTTCAATGACAAGTGACAACCCCCCTGCCCAAAAAATTCCCAACTGTTGCCCCTTCATTAACAATTTGAATTTGTGCTCACCAAAAATGCAGAGATGATGGTGGTAACGGATGCCCCAATAAAACCCTCCCAGGTTTTCTTTGGAGATAACTTGATCAAAGGGGTTTTTCCAAAGAAGAAACCAAAGATATAAGCAGCAATATCATTAATGACAATAAGGGTTGCTGGGAGAAGAAACCTGTACAGTAGTCCAAACAAGAAAGACATCAACTTCAACACAATTAAAAGCAACGAGGGATCAACTACCTCAAAAATAACATTTAAAAAATCCAGCATAAAAAGTGTCCACATATGTCAGGAATAGCATCATGAAGAATCCTAGGATTTCATGCAAAAGAGAACCCTCAAAAGGTGGTGGAATTATTTAGCATAATTATTAGACAATCATCATTTCCTTTTATAGGTTATATTACCAGAAAATCCCTTCAAAAATGCTTGCCACAGTGAAGGAGGACTGGCCAAATACAACAATTAGAATCATATGTGTCCAAGCATACTGGCCAAATTGGTACTTGTACATCTTCTTCTTCAATGTGAGAATGAACCACATAAATCCTGCATTCCATCAATAAAATGTGCATAAGCAAAGTATTAGCACCCCCACAATGTTGAAAAATGTCCAGTAATATCATAAATGTAAAAAAAACTAGCTAGATGTTTGCTAGGAATCTGATAAAGACATTGCACAAGCACTGGCTAATGAACATTATAAGGACAACATGAATATATAAGTTACCAGCAATGTACAGGGAGTAGCAGATAACCGTATGATACTTAATAAGACTGCTCACTAGGCGATACAGAACCATGTCTGATGTTACAGTGTTAACCAGGCGTTGACTCAGAATCCGGCCATAAACAAATAACATTGCAGTGAAGAAAAAATGCCTGAAATGATATACATGAATAAAAAATGAAGTTACTCAATGATTTTTTTTAATGTCCTGTTCATTTAGTTACTAATTTATCATGAAATGAATGATTCTACTGCTGTGAGAGTAAGAATTATGTACATACCAGTTTAATAGTCTAAATCCAGGCAGCTGCCTATCTTCATGAGCTCTCCTGAGCAGATTGAAAAGCTCCCTTGCCATGAAGATTTGAATAACCACCACCATTGCAGTGATGTAGAGGTGACCCATATAGATGATCAACACAAAGCCACCAATCATCCATACGGATGAATATGCTCGAATTAGCATGGACTTGTATTTGCTTTTGTCATTCACAAGTAACTGGGTCCCATTTGCTTTGCTAACTTCCGGAATAACCTAAGATAAAGGCATCATAAAATTAACTTCAAATAGTATACAGAAAATATTCCAGAAGATACTGCAGGGATTCAGTTCTCACGTCATGTCATTGAAACTTATTACATGAAATTCATTTCTGAATTTATCATGTGGAATTAAAGAAGAAAAGAACTTAGAATTTAACTATGCTTTCAATTATTTGTTGTCCATTATTACATATTTTGAACACCTTTTCATTCTCTCTTCAAATTTCAGTATGACACAATTGTTCCTTCCAATGATCGTGTCCGTTGGAAGAAAGTTGATGCTCATATATGTATGGTTTAAATACATGTTAGGTTACTCCACATATTGCCAATTGGTTTTATGTTGGAACCTTAACATGGTATCAGAGCCAAAGTAGAGCCAAAGCCTAACATCTTTCCGGTTATTGTCATGGGCCAAAAGTTGCCCTTTAGTTGGGTCAAAAGTACCCTTTGCCTGGTCCGGCAGGCTTCGTTGGAGGGGGTGTGTTGAAAGTCTCACATCGCCTACCTCATATAATTTGGTATGGTTTAAATACATGTTAGGCTACTCCACATATTGCCAATTGGTTTTATGTTGGAACCTTAACAGGTTGAAACAATTTCAACATGTAATCTACTAATACAAAATGCTTTAGGAAAAAATGATTAAGTGATAAATTAAACTTTAATTAATTAACCTCATTTGAGCGTTTTCGGTGCCTAATCCGACCACTTGTGGTTGATGGGGCACTGGTACTAGTATCCTTCTGCATCGCTCTTCAATCAGATTTCAGATTTCACCCAATTGAAAGATAATGTGAACAGCACATGTGTAGCAAGAAAGTAGACACCTGCAAAGTAAAGGACATGCAATATAATCCTTTATATATATATATATATATATATGAAGCATAACTTGTCAGATACGATCCAATTTGTAGACCTTCCAAGCAAAAAGTAGGCACTTCCATATATAGCACAAACACAGACAATAAAAAGTCAAAGTATGACATATATGAAGGTAACTAACTCACTGTAGACTTAAAGTTTGAGCAGGGAAGGTTAGCTAACTGAATTTTTCCAGTGATTTTTTTTTTTTTTTTAATTCAATCCAATAGGGATCTTTATAGTTCACTATGACCATATTATCCACAACCATTTGAGCACTGTGTTATTTACTCATTTCACTAGGTCTCATTCACCAGTTGGATTATAATTATCTTCTTCAACATTTGGATGCCGAAATGAATTTCTCACAGCTAAATATATAAGTTATTTACCATTATTAGTCCTATCCCTCTTTCCTGAAAAACATTTTAGCTTTTACAAGAAAGTAGAGATAATAAGTTTTAGTCAACTATTTAAAGTCTCACATTGTCTTTCTTATGTCATATGATATGGTCCAATACCTGTTAGACTACTCCACATATTGTCAATTGGTTTTATGTTGGAACCTTAACATGGTATCAGAACTAAAACCTAACTTCTTTTTTATTGTTGTCTTTGGCCAAGAGTTGTCCTTTCATTGTGGGTCAAAAATACCATTTGTCTGATCTGGCAAACTTCGTTGGAGGGGATGTGTTGGAAGTCCCACATCACCTGCTTCATGTCATGTGATACGGTTTAAATATTCGTCAGACTACTTCATATATTGTCAATTGATTTTATATTGAAATCTTAACACAAATTAACCAAATATCTGATTCTAGAATCATTAAAGATAATCTAACATCAAATAAATGCGTAATTACGTGCAAATTTTTATTTTTAAAGCACCATTGCCATAGAAAAATCCATCAACATTTTTTTGTTTCACTCACCCAACCGCAGTAAGCAAAATTCAATCTTTGTCCGAAATTTTTGTTAAACAATAAAATAACGAGGAAAATAAAAACCTAGACAAAAACATCCAACTATAAGCTCTAACCTCAAAAGCCAATCGATATTAACTTCAATAAGGAATACATGTGAATCCCATATTTATCAACTTTTGTTGGAATCACTGATTGGATAACATCTGCTCAATCAATTAATTATCGACTTATGACTATGAGCGTAGAGGCCTAGTTGAAGAGAGTAGCAGTAGTAGTGGACTAGTAGTCAATTGGTATTATCCAGGGACTATTCCTCATGGGTAATTAATATCTACTACATGTTACAAGAACGAAATCAGAAATCGATGCCAACTCCGACGCCGGAGTGTTGCCTTCAAGTGTTCCCACAACTTCCTAATTTTCAGGAATCCCACATTTTCAACAAGCAACGAACCCTAACTACACAGTCCACTATCGGTTCAATAAAACTCATTCTCGCACAACCTTCCCTATAAACAAAGAAGCACGCAGTAACCCTACATCACTATTCAACACTCTCGAACAAAGTCAATATATTCCCTTAACCTACTGATAACTCCTCTCCTCTCTCTACAAAACAAAATCGTTAATTACATAGACAAGAGCATGCAAAGTGTTTCCACAAAACACAAATGCGTACAACTAAAACTTCGTCTAACTCTTCATCCATTATTGAAGGGGGAAACCAAGCAAAACAACGAATCTCGAACGTGACACATAAAAGAACTTCAGATCAAGATCAGAGACAGTTCCCTGAAGTTTAATCATATAGAGCAAAAATAAAACACTCGAACAGTCGAAAATGAAAAATAAACAGGAGATAAGCATGTAAACATGTATGATCGAGCGAGAGTGAGATGGCAAAAGGCACGAAACCTGGTTTGGGTTCCGGTGATGTTGAGCGACGAAAGCGACGGAGAGAGCGAAATGAAGAAGAAGAAGAAGAAGAAGAAGAAGAGGAGGAAGAAAGGAAGGCTAAGAAAAGAAGGCGAGAATAGAATATAGCGAAGCGAAGCAAAGCAAAGCGCAGACACACTGTAGCGGTGAAACCTTATTCGTTTATACTAAAGTAGAAAACGAGAAATTCTCTCTTCGCAAAGCACAGCTCACACGAGACAAGTATCATTATTTTTGACGGACTCTTTTTTATTTTTATTATTTATTAATTATTATTATTATTATAATCATTATTTTATTAAGATGCTATATTCTTTCTTGTTAGAATTCTTTTTATTATTTTATTTTTCTGGTTCAGTTTTTTGCTTGATTTGAGTCTTCAAGAATCTTTTCTACAACTAAGATTAGAGACCGAGAGATACTGCTTCATCCTTCCTTTCATTCCATGCACCCTGATATCGTATTTTCTATTTTTCTTTTTACTTTTAGTCAATAATAGTCTAACAAATAAAATGATAGAAAAATAAAAGAAGAAAAATATAGATAATATTACTTAGTTTAGTTAAAGAGAAAGGAAGAATAAATGGTTTTCATATAAATTTTTTTATGTTTTCTCTTCAATTTAAATTTTCAATGTTACTTTTTTTCATTAAACTGTTTACTCTCAAATATATACCGGATAGATGAGAATCGAAAGAAGATAGATTGATAAAAAGTATATGATATATATTTATTTTCATTCATCCTTCCACTTCCAAATAGATAGAGAAATTATTATTCTCAATTTCTCACATTTTTGTTTTGACAACGCCCGTACATTATTACTTTACCCATTGAAAATAAAAAACTTTTTTTCTTTATTTCTTCCATATTTCTCGTTTACTTCTATTCTTTCTATTTATTTTCTTACGTCTTTCATATGAATTTCACCATTTCAATTCAATCAAATCCTTAAGAAGTTAAATCCAATGAAAAGATGTCAACGGGCAATATATGGAAGTAATAACTTGCTCGGCAACCATTTTCACTCACAAGATTTAAAAGAGATGGTTAGAACATTTCACTAACATCATAGTTGAGATGATCCAGACCGAAAAATGTATGTAGCGATCATATTGAAGTTTTTGACACTATCAAAACTAGTTCCAAACGCATTGAAGACATGGAATTTATAATTGAAAAAGGAGACAAAAGAGTTGAAAGAAATTTCATATTCAGTACTACATGGTTGGCTAACGAGGGTTAATTAAAAAAATAAAATCTAGAGTGCATAAGAAATTAACACCACTGTTTTTCTTTGAATAAATAATTGAGCTCCTCTTTAAGCAACAATTAAGAATCAATTTTTAGATAAAGCTGGCAAAAATAGAGAATGACAACGCAAAAGATAGTAAAGTCAAATTCATCGGACAAAACCCCTACTCTAAAAAAAGCAAATAACAACGTTTTTTTTAGTGTCTGCTCTAATATTTTAAAGAGTGAATACAAAATTAGCGTGAATGTTACATTATAAGTACAAAAATGTAAATAAGCAAACTTTGGGACAGCTTGATCAGATTAGTGGCGATTAGATTCTTGCTTAAGTGTTCACACATCAATAAAGTTATTCTGAACCAGATGATAATATCATTGTAGAAAATTGATTTTTTTCCTCAGTGGCTAAGGTGTGCGTCCAAAGAAGATAGCTATAAAATGCCATAACTGATATTGATAGTGTATTGTAGGGCATGCATTATTCAACAAGGTGACTACTTTAACATGTTTGTGGGAATAACATGCAGGATTTCTAAATTGGTTTTCTGCTTCACTGTGGTCCCTCTCCACTTTTAAGGCAGAATCTTACTCCTTACCACTGGGCAAAAGCACTGAAGAACCCTATAACCCACGGTGTGTGCATGGCCGAAGTAGTAAAAAATACTCTAAAAGCACGATTTTGATGCCTCAATTAGGAAAAAAAAAATGTCAAATTTGAGTTGGGGAATCAAAGACTTTAAAAAATTTTATGGGAAAGTGAAACGGAATCAGGCTAAACATGGGCATAGATGCAACTTGGACACAATTGGGTCAACCATGTATAACCAGCCCTGTCAATGACTCAACAAATTGGTTTAATTATTTACATAGACTTGTTTTACTTTGACTAACTTCACCGTATTAAAAAATAAAGAGTGAGAACTTGTTTTATTTGGACAGACTTAACTTCAAAAACATAACAAAAAATTTACAAATATATATATATATATATATATATATATATATATATATATATATATATAAATTGAAATTTACTCATGTACAAGTTAAAAAAATAAAAAATTTATAACTTTTTATGGATAAGCTTATTTAAACATTTTCTTGATAATCAAGAATGTAATCAATGTACAATTTGATAATTTTATTTTAACTTTCATTTCTCAAAAGTACATTGAGTATTTTTATTGTCTCATTATTTTATATTATTGGGCTACCTCTTGCTTCGTTTAATTGATTTTATGGTCTGTTTTGGTTGATTCTCATTTTCAAATTTTTCTGAGGCCCAGGTCCAACACATTTCACTTCATATTTTTGTATAAATATTTTAGATACTCACTGAATTGTTTTGTTTTTATTTACTTTATAGTTAATTTGAGTTTTTAAGCCTGTAATAAAAATCTAAACAGAATTATTAAAAAATTTGATGTCAAATTGAATATATAAAAATATTTATTTTTATAGATCATAAGAGTTGAAAGTTCAATTCTTACATTTAAAAAAAAAAAAACTCGGGTTTAGCAGGAAGTGGGTGAGGTGAATTGAAGGTCGTTTAAAATCAGCTTCCATATCAATACTGGTAAATGGAAGTCCAACAAAAGAGTTTCTTCCTAAAAAGGATTAAGACAGGGAGATCCCTTTGTTGGAAAATTAATAATAATAATAATAATAATAATAATAATCCCGATTTTGATTCTAACAATCAAACATAAACATAATCCCATACCGATAAACATGCTGTAAACCGAATGCGAAAGCGTACCTGAATTAGC